TTTGTTCTTTATCATTTTGAATGACCATCTTTATCCCTGGTAAGATTCCTTGTCATGAGGTCTACTTTGTCTGATATCAGTATAACCACCCCAGCTTTCTTTTGATTGCTGTTTGGATAATCATTTAAATTCTCTTATTCCCTGTTCCTTTTCTGTAGCATCCTGTACTTTTCTTTTTGGTGGATTGCCTTTTGGGTTTCTCTGAGGATACATATTTTCACCTTAAAAATGAAATATATTAAGCATTACTTACATACCATAAAATTCAACAGCTGTAGGTATGAAGTTTGATGACTTAGGTCAAATGTACACAGCCATGTACCCACCACTACAATAGAGACATAGGGCATTTTTTTAAAATTTTTTTAAATTTGAGGGGGAGGTAGTTAGGTCAATTTATCTATTTGTTTTTAGAGGAGGTACTGGGGATTGAACCCAGGACCTTGTGTCTGCTAAGCATGTGCTGTACCACTGAGCTGTACTCTCCCCCGCTGAGACACAGGAAAATTTTCATCACCTCAAAATGTTCCCTCGCGTCCCTTTGCAGGCAATCTCCTTGTACGGCTGTGGCCCTGGCAACCACAGATGTGTTCTGTCCCTATGGTTTTAGCTTTTCTCAACTTTCATAAAAAATGGAATCATATAGTTTGTAGTCTTTTGTGTCCGGCTTCTTCAGCTTAGTGTTTTTAGGCTCGTCCAGGTTGCTGCATACATCATGGTTCATTTCTTTGTGCTGCTGAGTAGTAGTCCATTGGACATTTGAACTAGTTCCAATTTTTGGCTGTTATGAATAAAGTTGCCATAGACATGTGCATGCAAGTCTTTATGTGGAGGGAATAACAGGCCATATGGTAAGTTGATGTTGAACTGTTTTAAGAAGTTGCCAAATTGTTTTCCAAACTGCTTGTACCATTGTGCATTCCCACCAGGAGTGGAGGAGAGTTCCAGTTGCTCCACATCCTCAAAAAGACTTAGTATTCACTATTATAAACAGAACTCCTTATATATTTTAATTTTGTGAAAGTTGTCTAATCTGATTCCCTCTGGAATCAGCTGGGTCTAGTTGTTTATCTGGTCCTTCTCTCTTACGTCGCTGGTCTGTCTTGGATATCTAGTGAGATCTGGCTGTCCACGTTCAGGAGTGAAGAACTAAGGGGTTAATTGCAAAAGCGCTGTTTACCCTCCTTACCTTCCTTCTCTCAGTTCTGTCCCCTTTTTTTACACCTTTACCTTCATTTCAGTGGGAATTGGAGGAAGAGAAAAGGAGGTAAGTGTGTAACTTCAGTCCACCAGCTTGAAATGGAAGATTTCTTCACTCTTAATGAATCTGAAGTATTTGTTTGCCATTCAAGTCACGGTGTGGGGCAAAGAGTAGGCGCTCAAATATTGGTTGAATTTAGGATTATTTTGGCATATAAATATATCAGAACTTAAATCAACCCACATTGTTCCACATGTAGATTGTTTCCAATTTTTTTGCATATTGATTCTACTGTTATGTAGATTAGATTTAGAGAAAAATGAGAGAAGAGATAACAGAGATGAACTAGAGGAGAGATGAGAGATGGCGTTGATAACGGAACAATGATGGTGCAGGAGACAAGACAGAAAATAGAGGTGGAGGTGATGGTGACGATGGAAATGGAGATAAACATGGAGGCTGTTCCAGGCTGGACTGGGTCCTCCCAAACTCATGTTAAATTCCCAACACTCAGTGCCTTAGAATGTGACTATGCTTGGAAAGAAGGCCTTTAAAGAGATAATTAAGCTAAAATGAGCTCATAAGGGTGAGGCCTAATCTGACTGGTGTTCTTAAAAAAAAAGTTTAGGACAGACTCACAGAGGAAGGACCATGTGAAGACACAGGGAGAAGATGGCCATTTACAAGGCAAGGAGGGGCCTCAGAAGAAACCAAGCCAACATGGCCAGCACCTCATCTTGGTCTTCCAGCTTCTGGAACAGTGAAGTAAATTTCTGCTGTTTCAGCCATTCGGTCCCCGGTATTTGTTCTGTTAGCCCTAGAAAACTGATACAGAGGTGATGGAGATGCAGAGTTAGGGAGGGAGAACTAGAGAGAGCTGTGCAGAGACAGGCGACCAGGTTCCTTAGGGTAAAACCTTAGCGGTGTAATTGCTGGTTGAAGGGGGTGTGCTTTGTTAAAGCTGCCTGTGCGCCCTGTGAGACTTCACCCCAGAAGGTCGTGCACTCGCTGTGTCTTGGAGGCGCCTGCCTCTTCCCCACCATCTCAGTCTGTCCCCAGTGAGTCAGCACCAAAGACCAGGGAGCAGGACCTTCAGGCAGGTTCAGGCACAAATTAGGTGTCGAATGACTGGGACAGCCTTGGCCCCTGTGCTGCTCACATGCACATCGGACTCAATATGACAAACACAGAGGGCCTGGGCAAGTGGCTGACCCTCCCTGAAACACAGTCTCTGCCCAGGCCACCCACTCTCAGCCACCTGGTGGAAGACTGGCACTTAAAGCAAGGCTGCTCCCAGCTCCTGCTTGTCCATCCCCAGCCTCTGCAAACGGGGGCTGGCAAAGGACCAAGGGAAGGTGGAGGAGGGCCAAGCCCCCAGCCTCCAAGGGAGATGGTTAAACATGTGGGCAAGAAACGTCACTGTGGCTTCAACCCTACTTTGACCTCTCTCCTCTCTAATCCAGAGGCTGGGAGCCAGTGCAGTGTGGTAGGTCAGAACTCTGGGCTTGGTTCAAATTTTCATTGTATTCCTCACTGACTGTGTGACCTGGAGAAGTCACTTAACCTCCCTAAGCCTCAATTTATTCATCTGTAAAATGGGCAAAATGACGCTCTTTCTCATGGGGTTATTATGAGGATGAAAGGAGGTGATTATGTAAAGCACTTAGAACTGAGGAGGGCACTGAATAAGTGCTCAATCAGTTTAGCTGTTGGTTGTGGTAAGGCTGTGCAGGTGAGGGTGGCAGGTTGTGGTGGAGATAGGGAGCTGCATGCAAGGCTGGTGTGAGGCCCGAGGGGTGCTTCATAGGGGATATTTGAAATCTTTACAGGTTTTTCTCTTATACTCTATTTCCTACCCAACTCCCTCAGCAACTCCTACCCATACCACCACCTCTGATTGCTAGCAGCACCTACTTACAGGTGCCAAGGACTGTAGGCACACAGGGTCTTCAGAGGTCCCCTTACATTCCCTTGAGTCCCTCCCATCAGAACACAAGATGCTTCAGGGACCAAGAACCAGCCCCAGCCGACAGTCCTGTATCTACCCCAGGAGCCCTGCCCAGCAGCATCAGGCACAGGACCATGTGAAGTGGGGCAGCGTGAAACATCCCCAGAAGACAGGTGCAGCAGAAATTGTGCTTTACCCAGCTCAGGATACAAATGTGCGCTACCAACCAACATCCGCCCAACTCCCACTCCCACCCCGAGAACAGCTTCCAGGAGAATCCTGGCTTCTGAGAACCTGAGGCAAGAAATGCCCTAACGCCACCCAGTGGCCATCAGTGGAATTGCATAAGCCAAAGTATGAAGCACTCTGCTACCTCCCAGTGGCCATGGGTGGGTTCACCAAGACTAAGGCTGAAAGCCCCCTGCTATCCGCCTAGTGGCCATTATGGATTTAGCACCTGCTGGGCCTGTGCTGTGAGCAGAAGACACCAGCTGGAGGCCACTAGCCAAGGAGTGTAGGCATCTTCTGGAAGCTGGAAAAAAAAGGAAACCGATTCTCCCCCTAGAGCCTCCAGAAGGAAAATAGTCTTGCAGACACCTTGATTCTAGCCCAATGAGACCCATCTCAGACTTCTGACCTTCAAGGTTCTAAGCCTAAAATTGCAGAAGCCCAAAGTAGAGAACAGCTTATCTCAAAGATGTCTGTGGCTGTGCCTTGCCTAATGGAGTCAATCCCAATAAGATTTACAGAAGGCCCACAAATTTAGAGTTATATTAGAATTATACTGGCAAAAAAAAAAAAAAAAACAAACACTACCAGCTGTGACTGAAAGGGACAGAGTTAGTACAAAATTAAAAGAGGCTTAGGACACCCCAAACTCATTTCTCCTTCCCAGGTAATGCATTCATATATCCTTAACATCACAATGCCTCTGAAACTGAATTGGGCATCAGAAAATTGTTTGATTTTCTTTTTTTCTTCTTTACAAAAAAAAAAAAATTAATGGAGGTAATGGGGATCGAACCCAGGACCTTGCACATGCTGGACATGCACTCTACCACTGAGCTATACCCACCCCAACCCCTGTTTTTGTTGTTTTTGTTAGTAAGGGGGAACTAGGTTTGTTTGTTTGTTTTTAATGGAGGTACTGGGGATTGAATCCAGGACCTTGTGCGTGCTAAACACGCACTCTACCACTGAGCTATACCTCCACCCTGCTTGACTTCCAAGGAGTGAAATAATTTTCAACAGGCTTGGGAAATTTCATCAATGCTCTTAGGAAACCCCTTGAAATAGTCCCTGGTGCAGTACGGAAGCCTCCAAGGGATGAATTTTCCAAAATCTCTCGCAACAGTTCTGATCTAACATCACTAAAGTGTGCTTTTGCTCCTGAAACTACTTTTCTTTCCTGCTGATAGATTTTTATACTTTGAGCGTTCCAAGCCCACCTGTAGCTGCCCTGTTCACACTGAGGCCCTCATTTCCTTTACTCCTCCCAAACGTTCAGGAGGGCTCAAGAGGACCATGAAGGTAACTGGGGCTGGGCCCTGAGCAGAAGGCCGAGAGAAAGAACCTCAGTGAACCGGTGTCCTTGGCCCGTCAGAGTTGAGAAAGTAGGTGCGCCTGCGCTAAAACCACCGCTCCCAGGATCCTCACACGATCTTTCGCGGCCAAGTCTCTTCCTGTCCGAGGCCCTAGTCATCGGATTCGGTGGACATGAAAAGCATGTGCAACAAAGCGTGATGATAAATTCTTGGAGCAAGAACAGGGGGAAGCTCTCTGGGAAATACAGTCCACGGAGGGGCGCGGGTCACAACCTGGCACCTAGACATAGCTTTGACCAGGACAAGAACCCAGAGATTTCTGGGAAATGGAGTCCGATGGCGCAGGGAGGCATGTGCGCATGACCGGAAGTTGCGTTATTTAGGCGCGTCCTCTTTGGCCTGGGAGCTGGGCCTGCGACCGCAGTTTGTAAGCTCGTGCAGGTGGCGGTATCCGGTAGCTTTTTCGCGTAGCCGGAAGCGGCTTTTTCTCTAGGTGTTCTGGAGACCGAGTTGTCTGTTGCACCGCAGGCTCCTGAGCCGTGACCTGGCTGTGGCTGAGCAGACAGTAAAAGACCGGGCTGGACAGGCCCGACCCGGCTCAGCACCGCAGATTCAGACCCGGCCGTTGAGGGGAGAGGCCTGAGAGAAGAGCCCAGAGCGGGGCTGGACCTTCAGTGAAGTGACGCTGACGGGCAGAGAACAGCTGGGAGGCGGTGGCGCTAGGTGGGACACAAATGCTGGAGGAAGGAGGTGAGAAGGACTGGTGGAGCGGTTTATGGCTTCCAGCTTGCCCGCTGATACTGCTGTGTGACCCGGGTGAGAACTCTGCAGTTATCCTTTCCACAAGTGCTAAAGCACGGTCTTTTTTTTTTTTTTTTTTTAATGGAGGTACTGGGGATTGAACCCAGGACCTCATTCATGCTAAGCATGCGCTCTACCAATGAGCTATACACACCTCCTTGGGACGATCCTATTTTGAATAAAGAATCCCGGGGTCAGAAAGGTTGGAGGCTCTCAGGCCTGGATCATCTCTGAGTATCCTATCCCTTACTCCGATCTGTTGATGCACCCATGGCATTAGAAAGTAGAGAGAAATGGGCCCTGGCAATGAAAATGGGACGTACCAAGGGCCTTCTCTATTGCTTCTGATCTTCCAGCCTTTCTGGAAGCAGCCAGGGATGCTCGGAATGGGAGCCTGTTGGCTTCACCTGATAGTGAGGGCGGGTTCAACCCAGTTGGACTGTGAAATCGTGGAGGGTCCTGGGGATTTAGAATCGGGAGGCTAGGATTCCTGTTTAAGCTGTGAGATACCAGTCAGTTCTCTTAACCTGTGTTTGTTCGTGGAGGAGAAGGTAAAATAACGTTAACTACCTCGTTCACTTCTAAGAACTGAAAGCATCAAATAAAATGACGTTTTTGAAAGCACCTTGAATGCTTTACAGAACAGAACAAATGTGTGTGTGTAATCTTAACCACTGAGGCAGTGCCATCCTCCCCTAGATCAAGGGGTCCCTGAATTGGCCTGTCAGTCTTCAGGTGCAAGTTCACATCCAGCATTTCGTGCTGTCTTCCCTCAGAGACCTGGGAACACAAACAGAATGGTTATCCTCCCCATATTACCAAAGAGGGATGTAAGTATAGTGGTTAGGTACAACTCAGTAACTTAAATCTGTACTAGGACCAGACCTGTTTACTTTTTTTGAATTATTTTTGAGGACTACACTACCTCTACTTTTTTCTTAAATTGAGATATAATTCACATGCTATGCTACAATATTCACTTTTAAAGTATAATATCCAGTGGCTTTTAGTATATTCACAGAGTATGCAACCATCACCACTATTTAGTTCCAGGATATTTTCATCACCCCAAAAAGAAACTGGTATTACTCCCCATTCCCTCTTCCCCCTAGTCCCTGGCAACCATTAATCTATTTTCTGTCCCTATGAATTTGCCTATTCTGGACATTTCACAAAAATAGAATCATACAGTATATGTGTCTGGCTTCTTTCACTTAGTGTAATGTTTCAAGGTTCATCCATGTTGTAACAGGAGGAATGTACTTCATTCCTTTTTGTGGCTGAATGATATTCCATTATATGGGTTATACCATGTTTTCTCTATTCATCAGTTGATGGACATTTGGGCTATTACAAATAATGCTGTGAATATGCATGCACAAGTTTTTGTGTAGACATGTTTTCATTTCTCTCTGGTATATACCTAGGAGAGGAATTACTAAATAACTGGTAACTTTGGTAACTCTGTTTAACTTTCTGAGGAACTGCCAAACTTTTTTCCACGGTGGCTGAACCATTTTACGTTCCCAGTATGTGTGGGTTTCAGTTTCTCTGCACCTTCATCAGCACTTTTTTTTCCCATCTTTTTTATTTTAGCCATTTAGTGGGTGTGAAGTGGTATCTCATAATGGTTTGCTATGCATTTCTCCAATGACTAATGATGTTGAGCATCTTTCCTTATACTTATTGGCTGTTTGTATCTTGCTTAGAGAACTATCTATTCAAATCCACTGCCCATTTTTAAGTTGGGTTATTTGTCTTTCTTTGTTGAGTTTTTAATAGAATTCTTTATATATTCTGGATACTAGACCCTAGAATATATATGATTTGCAGATCTTTTCACTTTCTTGATAGTGTCCTTTGAAGCACAAAGTTTTTAATTTTGATGAAATCCAATTTAGTTTTTCATTTTGCTTGTGCTTTTGATGTCATGTCTAGGAAACCCGTTGCCTAATCAGAGGTCATAAAGATTTCTATTTATATATTCTTCTACGAGTTTTAGCTTTTTTGTTTAAGTCTTTGATCCATTTTGAGGTTTTCTTTTTATATGATGCAAGGTAGGAGTTCAATTTCATTCTTTTGCATGCAGATATGCAGTTGTCCCAGCTGTGTTTTTTTTTTGAAATTTAATTTCTTGGCATTCTTGTTGAAAATCAATTGTCCATTAATCTGTGGGTTTATTTCTGGACTCTCAGTTCTTCTCCATTGATCTTTATACCTGTACCATATTTTTTTAATTACTATTGCTTTGTAGAAAGTTTTGACATCATGAATATGAGGCCTCCTGCTTTTGTTCTCCTTTTTCCAGACTGTTTGGCTATTCTGTATCCCTTCCATTTCTACATGAATTTTAGGATGAGCTTATAAATTTTTGTTAAAAAAAAAACAGCCAGCTGGGAATTTGATAGGGGTTGCATTGACTCTGTAAGCTAATTTGGTGAGTATTGGAAAACAAGATTAATGTCTTCCAATCCATGAACGTGGGATGTCTTTCTATTTATTTAGATCTTCTGTAATTTCCTTTAACAATGTTTGGTAGTTTTCAGTGTGATGTCTTGCACTTCCTTTGTTCAATTTATTCCTAGGCATTTTATTCTTTTAATGCTCTTGTAAATGGAATTGTTTTCTTAATTTCATCTTTGGATTGTTCATTATTAGTGTATAGAAATACAACTGGAGAACTTTCAATCCTTTGCCCATTTTTAATTGAGTTGTCTTTTTGTTATATATTCATGTCGTGTCCTGCAAACTTGTTTAGCTATGATAGTTTTTCTGTGGATTCCTTAGGATTTTCTATATGCAAAACCATGCCATTCGTGAATAGAGGTAGTTTAAATTCTTCCTTTCCAATCTGGATGCCTTCTGTTTGTTTGTTTTTTCCTAATTGCTCTGGCTAGAACATCCAGTATCATACTGAATAGAAATGGCAAGAGCACACATCCTTGTCTTGTTCCTGATCTTGGGGGGAAAGCATCAGTCTGTAGCTCTGGGTTTTTCATAAATGCCTCTTATTGTGTTGAGGAAGTTCCCTTCTGTTCCTAGTTTATTGGGTATGTTTTATCATGAAAGGTGTCAGGTTTGTAAAATGGCCTTCTTGGTGTTTGTCGAGATAATCATGTGGGGTTTTTTCTTTTATATTAGTATCACATTTTATATCAATTGATTTTCATGTGCTGGACCAACCTTGTGTTTCTGGGATGAATCCCACTTGGTCATTACCTCTTGTTTTGATTAAGCAAATGTCTTAAATTTGCAGAGCCATTTTCTCCAAAGAACTAAGTAATTGGTAATAGTTGTAAGCTATATACTTACACGCTAGGCATTTTGTCAGCTGCTTTGTCTGTATTTAAATCTTCACAGCAACCTTACAAGGGATTATTATCCCCATTTTACAGATCAGAAAAGTGAGGTCACATGATTTGCACACTGCTGGTAAGTGGTGGATCCGGAATACTTGAGAGTCTGTTACACTTTAATGCCTCCCTATGTCTGAGTGAATTGGTGGAACTTCCAAGGTAGAAAGAAGAATGGGAAACTTTTATCCCACTACAGGTCTGCAGATTCAGCCTTAGTGAGCCCTGGAGCTTGTGATGTTGTTTGAGTGGTCTCTTCAGAGTGAGAAAGTAACACTTTCTAGCTTGGTGAGCTGTAGTTTTATGCCTCATTGGTTTCTTTCTCTTTTTCCAGAGCCACCATCTCCAGATCCTGCCCTTCCCCAAGAGGAAGGCACAGAAGAGGAAGGAATGGCAGCTGGTCTTGCAGCTGGGCCCCAAGTAAGTTAGAAATTTACTCTGAGAGGCAGGCTTCTTTTTTTTTTCTTCTTTTTTTAATATTAAGAGTGTTTTGGGTTTTTAATTACATAAGGAATTCATGTTCATTGTAGAAAACCTGAAAAATATGGACAATACACCCCCCCCAAAATCACCCTTAATCCCACAAAGAAATAACACTTAACATTTTGTGTCCTTTCAGTCATTTTTTTTAATGTTTTCCTAAAATGGGTGTGTTTTGCTTTGTAACATCCTTTTTATTTCCACTTAGTAGAATTTGAGTAGTATTTTCCCCATTTCATTAGAAGTATTCTACAGAATTATATCTAATAAATTCCATTGCACAGTCCTATGAGGGTAAGAACTATCTTTTTTTTTCTTTTTTTTTTCCCCTTGACTAGACTAGGTCTTGGTCTATTTTCACTTTTAGGAAGTCTGCACTTGAATTTCCTCATCAGTTCTACTCTTTATTAAAATTTTTTCTTAGTTTTTTTGCTTCTGTTTTCCTTAGGTTTATTTTTAAATTTATTATTTTTTTATTGAGTTGAATCCCTAATTCATTTTCTTCCTTTTTGTTTATATATATTGAAAGGTTTTGGCTGAGGGTCTTTATTTTTTTAGATATGCCAAAATTGTGACTTTGGTTTCTTGTCTGCACAATCAGCTGGTGTGTGCTCCGTGGAGATAAAGTTTGTGTCTTTTCTCAACACACAATATCCAGGTATTGTGTGATCGCAGGGTGTAGGGTTTGTCAGCTCTATTAGCTCAACCGTATTAAATTACTCATTTCTCTCATACTCTTTGTTTTGTATTAACTTTGTCAACAGCTGAGTTGTTTAACATCTCTCATAACTATAATGTTTTAAATTTCTCCTTGTACTTCCTACAGTTTTTTTTTATCAACTATATATTTGTTATTTGGTTCATGACACTTGCATGTTCACAGTGGATTTTACTCTCTTAATTATTAAAAATTACCCAAATGTTTTACCCATTTCACGGTTTTTAAAAATGATGCTCTTTGTCCCATTTAATGCATTTCTCAATGTGAAGGATGGATTGGAAGGACAGGTAAAATTAGAATCAGGAGACTAGTTATAATCTGGGAAATGATGCTGGTTTAAAACAAGGCAGTGGCCAGGGGCATGGAGAGAAGTGGGTGAATTCTAGTGATAGTGAGGAGGGAGAATGAATAGGCAGTTGATTTGTGGGGAGCTGCAGGCAAGGGGAAGATAACACCCAGGTGTCTGACAGGGACAACTAGGTGCGTGGAGGTGCCATTTCCTAAGCTGAAAACAGACAAATACTTTCTCGCCTCCATGCCTTTGCTCATGATGCCTCCCCTGCCTTGGATATCCTTCTCTGTCTCCATCTGAGGAACCTTTTCCTTCAAGGCCAGCTTGGTGATTGCCTTCTCTCTGTGGTCTTCCCTGATTGTCCTGCCCCTGCCCTCCCTCTAGGATTCCTCTTCTGTTATCCTGGTTACCAGTCTGTCCATCTCTTTGACACATTATTACAGGTGGTTACGTACGTGCCTGGCTCTCCTGCTGTACTGTGTGATGTCTGAGTTCATACGAATATTTATCAAATGTTCTGAAAACATTTAATCATTCACATTTCTTTTCTAATTTGGAGCTGATTCCTTGTTGCATAAACTCACACATTCTAATTTTGCTTTTTCTATATTGGCTCTTTTAATTCCCAAGCACTGTTAGTTTCTGCCCAAGTACTGCTCATATATATGCATATTTCCTTCTGTTTGTATTTGAAGTCTACTAGAATTATAAACACACAAGAGAGACTGTGTTTTATTTATTTTTGTGTGTCGATAGTCCAGTCTAGTGTTAGGCACAAAGGAAGTGATTAATAAAGGCTTTTCTGAAACTATCCTGAGTCCTTTCAAAGACCCTTTGTAGGCCTGCTTGGCAACACACCCAGAGCCCCAGCCTCCCCACCCCGTCACTTCCACCTCCCTTCTCGGGCCACTGGGCAAGAAGGAATGTGCTTGTTGTTCCAGGACCGCACGCCTTTCAGCAGTGTGGCTGTAGCATTTACCCAGGAAGGGTGGAGGCTCTCGGTCCCTGCTCTGAGGGACAGGTTCATGGAGGGGATACCAGAAGAGTCCAGAAACCTGGTCCTCCTGGGTAAGGAAACCATTTAAAATTCAAAATTTGCTCAAGTCTGAAAATCTGTGGCATTTCCCAGTGTTAAGTGATCCCAAATTGCTCTGATGCACCAGAGGGATAGTATTTATTCTTCCTCGTCCGCCATTGATAGGTCTCTGCACTCTGGGTTGGGAAACAGGCAATTTCATTTTGTTCCCCCCAAAGCTGTGCCCTCCCCCATTTTCTTACTTCCAAGGCAAGGTTGGATAACCTTTAGGCCAGTTCCTCCATGTTCACCAAGTTCCTAAATAGCTTGCTTTATGGGCTTGCTTAACTCCCTGGCTTGACCCTTCCTTGAGGCTGTTTCTTCAGCTCTTTTCAGAAATGTTCTACCAAGACCTTGGTATCATATCTGTCTTACTGCTGCATCCCCTAGTGTCCGGCACCAAGTCATTGCTCAGTATTTGTTGAATGAATGAAATGAATGACCTATTTCCACTCCCGAGTTCTGGGTGGCTATTTGTACTTAGTACAAATCTCTAAAGCACATTTTTCCCCTTATAGGACTTCCAGTCTCCCAGCCTGTAATGAACTCCCAGTTGGAACAAAGGGAAGGCTCATGGATGCTGGAGAGAGAAGGCCTAAGGAGTACCTGTCCAGGTAAGTGCGCACACACTGAGCCGGTGTCTCGGGAGCAAGAGCCCTTCTGAAATGTGTTAGTGCATTTGATTATTTTAACAACTCGTGAGGTAAATATTATTATCCCCATTTTATAGTTGAGGAATATAAAGCTGAGAGGCTAACTCACTGGTTCAGAGCCTCACAGCTAGAAAGTGACATAGGGGTTTGAAGCAAGGTCAGACTCCAGTGCCCTCTCTTCCACACCGTTTCCTCAGTCTCGCCAGGCTGGGTGGTGGAGCGCAGGTGGTATTGCTGGCTTCTGGGAGAATGGGGGTCCTCTTTGCTGGCCTAGCACATTCCCTGCTTCAGGTTACCTCACTGGGGGTGTCAGGTGCCCCCCCCCGTACCCGTACCTCCAGCTGTGACACCTGCTGCTACTCCCCTCTCTGACTCCTTACTGGATTTTGCACCCCCACCCCTCCTCTTCACGGCCATGCCACAGCTTTCTGAAGGGATGATACTAAGAAACCCGGGAAAGACAAAAGCAAGGGAAACCAGTGTGTGCCTCTTGCTACTCACCTTAGGTTGCTCATTTCGCCCCCACCTTCATATTTCAGCCCTTGCACATGTGTGACTTCTGGCAGGGCCTGTGGTTTCAGCCACTTACAATATTTTGAAACTTAAAGCATCGGGTACAAGTGAACTTAACAACTTTAAGGTGATGAAGTTTTAAATTTTTCTAAAAATGCAGCCTAATGCTCCATATTTTTAGTGACTATAATTATTGTTGCTGTAGGACAATGAAAACAAAGCCCCTGGCTTACTTTCCGCACAGGTCATCTGAACCCTCTTCTCCTTCCCATCCTGTCCTCTTTCTAAGCAGCCTGCCACCTGTTACCTCAGCCCGCGTTATGCCCAGGCACCACGCGGACTTGCTGAAGTACTTCCCCTTACGGGGAGCCGCACCCTTCCTGCTGCTTCCTTCTCCCAAGGCCCCCCGCGTCCCCACGCACCGTATTTGCTACACAGCGCCTTTTAACCTGAACCCATGGCCCTGGAACTTCAGAAACTGAATGCAGTGGTTTATGGCAATACTGCATTTTTCTGGGGAAAGGTTTCATCACAGAGCGGTTCAAGATCCTAAAAAGGTTACTGAAGAAGATTCAAATCACCGTGTTATTAGAAACAGAAGTTGGGAACGTGTTACCACCAAGGATCTGTGCTCTGAGGAATAGAGTGTTAGTGTGGAAGCAACTTTGGATATGGACCCATGAGAGACATAGCCAGGTCCTAGCCTGCTGTGCATTAATAACTACATGGATTCAGAGTAAACCACTAAGTTATGTGTTACCTGTTTCTATATCTAAAAAAATGTGGATAACAAAACCTGTCTCATTTTATAAGTTATTATGTATGAAAAAAAGTTGTCAGTGATGTAGAGCTGTATTAATTCTGTGATAGTGAAGTAGTTGGAGTTTTAAATTTGGCCATTAGAGTAACTTAAATACTTCTGTGGTGTTACATCTCTGCTCTGAGGCCCACAGAGCATCCTGGGCATCGCTGTGCCTCCATGGGCTGGTTTCAGGGCCCTCTCTCATTCCATCCCACTCCTCCCACGGTGACAGGCCCCAGTCTTTGAAGTGCTTTGCCCTGACTGCTTGGTACAGTCCTGGCATTGTTTTAGCTACTGGAGGTGCATCAGAGAACATGATGTAGCCCCTGCTTACATCCTAGTGAGGAAAAGAAAGAAAATGAATAAACGGAACACCTGATACACTGCTAGACAGTGATGAGTGCTAGGGGGGTGGGAGTCCGGGTGGAGCTGAGACCTGAAGGAAGAGAATGAGACAGGTATGAAAGGATCTGGAGGAGGAACATTCTGGGCCACAGCATGTGTTGAGGCTTTGAGTTGGGAATGAGCTTGGCTTGTGTTAGGATCCATAAGCCCCTAGGACTCAGTAATCAAGGGTTAGTAAGCAGGGCACAGATCATTTAAGGGTTCAGATTTTATTCAGATGGAAAGATAGGTAGCCATTGAAGGTTTTGAGCAAGGAAGGGACAATGTTTGATTTGTGTTTGAAAAGATAACGTGGAGACGGGACTTTAAAGACTAGAAACAGGGAGACCAGTTAGGACATTCCAGTGAGATGATGGTGGCTGGTAAGGATTCAGGACTGACTTGGGTGTTAAAGCCAATAGGACTCGCTAGTGACCTGGAGGTGAGGGACAGAGGCATTAAGGATGTCCCTGGCCTGAGCAGATGGATAGATGGGAAGACTGACAAAGACACTGGCTTGAAAGGGAAAGTCAGCAGTTCTGTTTTGGGTATATTTGGTTTGGGATATCAAACCTGGTAAGCAAGTTACCCAAAACCACACCGAGAATTGTGACTTAAGAAGACAGCTTGAGGCACCCAGTACTTGGCAAAAGCACAGGAGAGGAGTGCGTCTGAGGCAGAGGTTCAAGGTTGCAGTTTAGGAAAGGGAGCGAAGTGTGTTTATGTCTCTGAAAAGCCATCTGGTCATTATTTCTGGTTTAGAACAGAAGCGTTTGGGGAGAAGGGAGTGAAGCGTTGAACTTGTCTGCATAAGACCTCAGCCAGACTCTGTCAGCCTTATGTATTTCAGTTCTATCTTCTTCCACCAAACAAATAAAAAAAATTGCTCTTCTAAATTTTTTTCAGACTGGAAGCCTGAGTCACCACCTGAGCAACACATTTCCAAAGAATCATTCCAAGACACAAGTGTAGAGCTGCCCCCTGGGGAGTCAGGTCACAGGAACCGTGAACTGGGGAAAAGCTGCAATCTGAGACCAGTACTTTCTCCGCAGCAGAAAGTTCCTACAGAAGTGAGACCCTGTAAACATGAAACACACACAGAGAGCCTCAGGGAGGATTTGGATATAATTACACCTCGCAGAGCGAAGCCGTACACGTGTAATGAATGCGGCAAAGCCTTCAGTTACTGTTCTTCCCTTTCTCAGCATCAGAAGAGCCACACTGGGGAGAAGCCGTATGAGTGCAGTGAATGCGGGAAGGCCTTCAGCCAGAGCTCCTCTCTTATTCAGCACCAGAGGATTCACACTGGAGAGAAACCTTATAAGTGTGGTGAGTGTGGAAGGGCCTTCAGCCAGAACGCAAACCTCACAAAACACCAGCGAACTCATACCGGAGAAAAGCCCTACAAATGTAGTGAGTGTGAGAAAGCCTTCAGTGACTGTTCAGCCCTGGTTCAGCATCAGAGAATTCACACCGGAGAGAAGCCTTATGAATGCAGTGACTGTGGGAAGGCCTTCCGACACAGCGCAAACCTCACAAACCAC